AATTAAGCCTAAAAAAAATAGTTTAAGGATATATAAAGTTACAAGTATTTATTAAGTACCTAATTATTGGAGATTTTTCAAATAAATACTTATACTTTAACACAGAATAAGAATATTTTCATCCAATTTTGAAGGAAACTAATGCAGAGAGATCCAATTGAAACATTATAAGCTCGCAAACTTAATTATAAAGTTTTAAAATATATAGTCTTATGCAGTCAAAATATATAGACTTATTTAAACATATCTAAATAATTATAGAAGCATATTAATTTAGGCTTTTATTTTGAAAATTATTATAAAAAAATGGAAAAATAATATTATTTTTGTACAATAATTTAAAATTTTAAAATTATAATTAATTTTTCAAATAAACAGGTGCTCAATTTGATTCTTTTAAATAAAATTTGAGAATTGAGTTTCGTGGATAAAATAATATGATCGAGAGAACCTGTTAAAAATGATAAGTGAATTCTCTAACAAAAATTAATCCTTATCAAAATTGATAATACTTCTTACAAATAATATATATATAAAAAAATCTGAATTAACACGACGTACAAAATTTGTAATGCGCGATGAGTAATGATACTTCATGAATTGTTAAAGGAAATGAAAATATTATCGAATATCTTTAGAGCATTAATTGATTGAGGAATTAAAAGTGTGATAGTGCAATAGTCTCCCATTAATTGTTGTATATATTGATTATTTGACCCATTTAGATTACTACTCCTCTGGTCTATTATAAGATAAAATTTAGAATAAATTAATATTTTTTTTATAAGATTATTTACTATTTCTATAAAAAGATATTAACTTTACTTTTTATTTTTTACTTTATTAAAGATTGCGAGAGTATGTACTTCTCTCTCACATATTCTAGATTTTTCAATTGTTATTTACTAGTATCATTTTTATTAGTATTGATATGTAAGTTTTATATAAAATAATATTTTTATATCTCATGAAAATATATTTAATGATAATTAAGAGGGATAAAATTGGTAACTTATTAAAATTAACTAACATAATTACTTATATTTAATTCACAATAGAGTATTTTATTTTATAAACTCAATAAAATTAATTAATATAACTAGTTATATTGATTTGTTTGATCGAATTAAAAGCTTCTTATAATAAGAATGAGAAGGGGTATGAGATTTTAAATAATAAAAATAAATAAATGTATTTAATGTTTTGGAAAGATAAAAAAATTTGAATATTTATCATACAAATAAACTAGCAGGAGAAAGTTGGTTGGAGTAATTATAATTGAAGACAATAGGAGATGATCCAAGTCCATATATATAAAATAGCCGAGAAGAGAAAATAGAAAGAATATTCTTCATATGAATTTTTAGTACAAGGTTTATCATGTCAAACACAACTGAACGATCTATGATAACTAGGACCAGAGTTGCTTATATCGAATTGCATATGGATAATTATTTAAAGACAGACCATGCTATCAACCATTAATTTGTGTATAGTATGTTGAACCACTTCAAAGCCTACATTTGTCTCGTTGTCTTTTGCATGATTCAGTTACATATAACGACGATTGCATAATTGTTTTGCTGTTTCAGTGAGACAAATACATAAAAGCAAAATTGTCAATATCTTGGGAGGAAGTGGACATGTATATCTATGAGCATGAAATACAGCTGCAGAAATCAGAGGAGGAGAAGAAAGTGGTTGTTCTAAACATTTATTTGGGAGAGAGAAGAAACAATAAATTTCCCTTCATTGTTTTTGGGGTGACTCATAGGACTTGGTTGATTTAATGGTGAGGAAGTTGAGAGCCTTTACTTCTAATATTTTAAATACCATTGATCAGCCATGGATGTGGATCAGTTCGTTTTAATGTCTGAAAACGTTGTCGATGGCTTTGAAGTTTTTAAAATGAATAAAATCCTGAAATTCGTCTATGAATTTTTTTGTAAAATTTGATTAATCGGATTTTTTTTTATTAAACACCAATTTGAAATAGATGTAGGCTTAGATTCGATATTTATTGCCCTTGTTGTACTTGCATAAGTTGCATTGTAATTTCTATTTTTTTTTATTTACAATTACGTATATCTTTATGTCTATTTGATTAAATCACTACAATAAAATCTATTATTAATGATAATTATTTAATAACAATAAATTAATTGTTGCTATTAATTATATAATAATAATATTAATAATTAATATATAATAATCATTAAAAAAAGTATTTACATTATATTAAAGGTTATTATTAGTGATAATTATTTATTGAAAAAAACTTAAATCTCATATCGATTAGAGATAAGATAATTAAAGAGTATATAAGTGAGTCATAATTATCACCTTACAAGTCGATTTTGTAGGGTTGAGTTAGACTCCTAATTCACTATTCTAAGTTAGTACTAAATCACCTACTATTACCAAATTCAATAGTGTTATAAAATAATTAGAGAGCAACTTTTACCTTATAAGTCTCACATCTCTTAAGAGACAAGATAAAAATAAATTAAAAGATATATAAATAGAAGACAACCCTCAAAAAATATATAATAAGTTATGAATTTAGAGAAGAAAATGATAGGAATAAACTATTTATGGTTTTACTAGTAATAGATAAAAGTCACTAAATAGATGGAAAAGAGGCAATTGAAAAAAAAATAACTTTTAATGGTCTTTAAAATGACTACTAGAAATAAGTTTTACTGACAATTTAGTAAATCTTTACCAGCATTCTATATAAATATCGATAATAGTATTAACGATTCTAGATATATCAGTTATTATTTAATTACTAATAAAAAAATTAATGATTATTTATATGGTCGCTAAAGAATAAAATAATGACTACAAAAAATTAATTTTAGTGTAGTATATACTAATCTCGATTATAGTATTGTGAGTTTTGTTGATATAATAATTTTTTTTTATTTATATATAATAGTAATATATTATTATTATAAAATCATTTTACACGATCTATCATAATAATAATAAATTTAATGATTCTTATTATAATAGTTACCTTACAGTCATATAAACCGTAATCTTTTATTAATTATTTGTATAAAGCATGTTACACTGACTATGCATTACCGTTAAAATCTTTTTATGTAACATGAGTTTTTGGTATAAATATTTTTTTATTGTTGACTCTTTAATGGATCAATATACAAAATTTTATTCTGGTATATATTGAGAATATAAAAAAAAATGACGATTTTTATGAATAACTACAAACGGAGTCTTAGTTTTATTAATCCTGTTGAGAGATATAGAGAAATTTATTAAGTATAAATGTGACCAACAATTGTTATTCTTAAAAATCATCAAGAGAGTTGTAGCATCCTTAAACTAATTTCGTTACTTTCCTTTTTTAAAGTTGAAGTTTGTTTTTTTTTTTTTTAATGAACTAATTGGGGAAGTTGGAGTTATTATCCACATTAAAGAACCATTGTCATCCGAAACCTTCCCTTCAACTGTATACAGACTCAAAGCATTAATGACCCGTGCCATACATCTCCTCCTCCTCCTTTCCCACCGACTTTCATAATCATAAGTACCAAATTAATTTATAACGTGCCATCTCATGGTGGACCAAATTTAATTTAATTAATTTACGCTTTGGATTAGTTTTTTGGTTTTATTTTGTTGGTGATACATGTAGTCGGATGGTGCTACAAAAGGCATGCATAGGAAGAATTTGACTTAATGGTATATATATATATATATATATATATATAAATGATATATTCAAAATTATGATGAATTGAGTTTATTAATATCTCTATTTTTTAACAATAAACCTAAATTAAAAGTGTTATTTGATTTTTAATTAAAGTCATTTTTTTGTAGTAATTACTTTTAAAATAAATACCCTTAAATAAAGTCATTTTTCAATTCAATAAGTAGAATAATTTTGAAAAGTATAATGTATAGATTATTAAGAATAAATTTAATATTATCTACTAAATTAATCAATTTCTCAATTCTAATAAATTAGGTAATTGAGTTTTATGAACCATATGCATATGAAATGGTGTTCTCTAATAACAATGTTATATTTTTAATATCTTATCTATATTAATACATTTATTTTTGACTTAATATATCTTAAATCTAACTCAACATTAAAAGTTAACTCATGAGATAAGTGTTATCACATATTTACATATATCTTTAACTATATTACTAATTAAAGTGAGATTTCAATACATCCCATCACTCAAGAACTTGACATTTTATTTGTGTACAATAATATTAGTGGTGGTAAATATTTTTGTCTTTTAAGCACTAGAAATAAAAAATTGTTCAATGAATTATTGAATCCTGAAAAATAGAATTTTTCTGTTTTATTTTCATTTAATTTAGTTATTTTAATTTTTCTTATAGTGTGTCACAATATAATATATATATATATA